CACAGTTAGGTCTGTTTTATTTATGCTTAGGATGTATAACACAACAGTTTCTGTGAAATGCCACTGGGCAAATGTATGATACAAAATAAACCCAATGTTTCGAACAGAAAAGTCATCTTTAATTAAGATATCAATTAAGAAATGCTCAGCTGGACAGATGTCCCTTGCACTGTGTCCAGAAGTTCAATGAAGGGAAGCTTTGCCAGGTCACGAGAAAAACCAAGGGCAATAGCCTTAAGGCCTTGGGGCTATTAGCACAGGCTCTCTGGTAGACCTTAACCTTTGGGATTTAGAACTACTAGTATGCCTCTCAGGTACTTTTTGCATCTGCTAATGCTCATTGGCAGATCAGTGCCACGTAAGCAGAAAGATTAAAAAAGATTAAATCATTTAATAAAAAAAAAAAAGACAAATAAATAAAGGACTTACCTAATCCTTGTCTCAATTCCAACCTATACAACCTTCCAGAAGAATCCCAACGCCTGCTTAATCAATATTCATTATTACTGTGGCCTTCATGAAAAAGTCTTCCTTGAAATTTATTATTATTTAGTTGTTACAATTGGATAATTGTTGTTGAAATAATCATTTGAAAGATGAGAAGCTGACTAACTATCAGGGATGCATTTTCCATTAGGATGTGAGCTTCCTGAGACCAAAGACTATTTTTTTTTTTTGTTCCTTTGTTTTTTCGTCTCTGTATCCTTAATACTTTATATTCAATGTCTGACACATAGAAGACATTTAATAAATATTTGTTAACTTACTGATTTTAAATATATAAAAAGTGTAACAAGCATGTTTGATTTGGGGCTAAAATAATATTAATAACTTAAATGGCATATTATATTTACAAAGGGCACTATGTTCTTTGTCTCGTTTGACCTGCACATTAGTCCTATGAGAGTAGGCAGCGTAAATATTATTTCCACGTTACAGATGAGAAAACTAGAATGCTGAGAAAGCTAAGCAAATATCTCTGGGTCCCATAAGTAACAATTTTTTAAGTCTGGGACTCAAACCCAGATGTTTTGATTTCAAACTCTGTGCTTTTACCAAGTATACCATACTTTTTGAAGGTTGAGACACACTGAATGTCATGACCACTGTTGTTCTTCAAACACCTGCAGTGTATAAAGCACTGTGATAAGTATTAGAGGAAGATTGAAATATAAATAATACATGGCATAAGTAAATAGAATTCATCCACCTGCACATAATTTCCCAAGAACTGAATGAATGAAGGAAAAGAGAAAGGAAGAATCATTAACTCTAAATGTATGTTCATATGGTCCCATTCCCACTTCTACCTACCTTAATTTTTTTTACATATTATACAGTTCACATTTTAAGGAAAGGACCATAAGGAAAGTATTGTGTTTAAAAAATTGCTCTTTGCTTCTTGGAGCTTCTTGGGATCTTACTCATTTTCCCAGATGTTCCCCAAATGAGGCAGCATGGTTACAAATCTTGGAAGATCACAACCTCCAAAGATTCCACGTTGCGGGTGACTCAGTGTACTATGGAGCATAACATAGCAGACACATGTTGCCTACGGTATATTTGCAGTGATGGCCATACCCCGAATTGCATTGAAATCCCTTACCCAGACACAAATGTTAATTTTTTACTTCATCGGCAAAATGGGAATAATAACACCTATGCCTCTTACTTCAAAGGGTTATGAGAATCAAATAAAATAATTCATTTAAAGTACTTTGTAAATCTTAATGTTCTACATATATACATACATATATATACATACATGTATAAGATTTCATCATCATAATCATGATTATTAAAAGTATGACAGAAGGCAGTAAAGTATCATAAAGAATAGCCATCTGAGCACAGCACTGTTCATAGGAGGAAGGAAAGAAAGAAAGAAAAACCTAAAGGAAAGACTTCAACAAGGTGGGTGGATTCTTTGTCAAGTTCAATGAAAGAATATAGTCAAAATCTGATTAGGATAAGAAGTGGGACAAGAGGCAGCTAAGTGGTGCAGTGGATAAAGCACCAGCCCTGGAGTCAGGAGGACCTGAGTTCAAATTTGACCTCAGATACTTGATACTTATTAGCTGGTGTCCCCGGCAAGTCATTTAACCCCATTGCCTAGCAAAACAAACAAATAAATAAACAAAGGAAGACAATGGGACATGAGTGGATTGTAAATTCCCCCAATGGAGTAAAATGTGTATGTTGATGAACTCACCAAACATGAAGTGTTCAAATTCTAGAATTCTAGAAATTATATTATTGTCCTCAAGAAAATCACTGGCCATTCTATAGCTAATAGTTATTAATATTAAAATATTAATCTAATATTTATTATCCATAAAATAAATATTATAAAAACCTTTTAATGGAAGCAATTTTGCTTAGGGAACCATAACACTTGTATAAATTTAGAATCAGTTCACTTTTCATGTCATGACCTAACATTTAGCCTTTTTTTAATTTAATGAATTAATTTGAAATTTAATTAAGTTGCTGACAAACTTCTCAACTCATCTCTTCTAGATATTAACTGACCTTATTTTGTAGAAACAATTCCCTCCATATATACTAAAACTTTTGTCAGTGTCAACTCAATTAAATTTTGAATTGTTTTCTATAGACTAGGCTATACAGAAAAAATTAATTGGTTATTCTTAGTCTGATCAAATTAAATTAGATGGTAAACTTCTGAATATTCAAGTAACAGAAAAGTAAATGCTTACTATTACATATTTATATAAATTTGAAGTTAAAATTTGGAAATGAAGTGAGATCTGATATGCCTTCTGTGTTTTTGTATCAATAAGCAAATGGGGTAGACAGTGTTTAATTTTAAATCAAGTGACTATATTTTTTAGTTCTTCATCCAATCAGAAAAAAAATCACATTTCATTAATTTTGAAATTTTCAATACAAAAGGCAGAATCATAGTTATAGTTGAAATGGAAGCAGATGATCATCTAGTCTATATCAAAGATAAAATACAATCTTTTTTGATAACATATTCAACACATGATCATCAAGCCTTTTTTTTTTTTAAGAACTCTAGGGAGTAAAAACAAACCAACTCTAAAATAGCCCATTCCACTTTGCTTTGGGATTGATGCAACTGTTAGGAAGATTTTCTTTCCATTAAGGCTAAATATGTCTCTGTTAACTTCTACCCATTACCCAGAATTCTACTTTCTAGGGTGAAGCAAAGAAGTATGAGATAACAAAATCACTAAGTGTTGTATGGGTTTGTGTACATGTGCATGCATTGTGTCTATATGTATATGTGCATATATTTATGCCTGCGTATATATAGAAACATGTGTGCTCACATATGTGTGGATACACATAGGTACACCAAATAATGTTATATCACATATGTATATATTTATATATAGATAGATATGTATACAGATATAGATAGATAGATAGATAGATAACACATTATTTAGACCTGTGATTGAATAATAATCTGAGCCCAAATTTGAACCCTGCGAAAGTCACTTAACCTCTGTCTGCCTCAGTTTCCTCATCTGTAAAATGTGGATAATAATAGCAACTAACAACCATCTAGTGTGGTGGTGAATCTCAAATAAGATAATATTTGTAAAGTGCTTTATACCCTTAAAGTTCTTACAAATGTTAGCTCTTATTAAGTATTAAAAATGATCCTGACGATGTGAGCTCTTAGAAAGCAGAGCCTGTCATTTTTCTTTAAATCTTCAAAGCCTAATACAATGACATACACAGAGTAGGCACTTAATAAATTTCTGTTGAATGCCACTGAATGAGTGACACACTAGTAGTGTGATTGTTTTATTTTTTTTCCAGAGAACGTGTTTGTTCCTGTGAAAGTTGCAATCAATCAATCAATCAATAACCATTTATTAACTGCCATTAAATACCAGAAACTGTGCCAAGAGCTGAGGATACAATAAAAGGCAAAAGACAGTTCCTTCTCTGAAGGTGCTTACAGTCTAGTGGAAGATAATCTGGAGAGAAGAGAGGAAAGTCTTCTTAAGGATAAGGAAAGGTGGTAAAGAAGACCAGAATGGAAATGAACTTCCTTTTCATTTTCCCAATAGTTTTCCTCTTAACTTGGAAACAATCTTCCAGCATGAAAAGTTTAGATTTATGTCTTGCTCTATCACAATCCTTCCTTACCTTAGCAGTAATCAGACTATTGGCTCTCACTGGTGCCTCTAGCTGTAGGTTTATTGTCCTCATGTCCTGGAATTTATTATAATACCCACCTCCCATCATACCTTGTGCATGTCCATTATGTATGCATCTGTGGGGGGGGGGGTGGCCTACGTGATTATTCCTCCCTTGTGATATTCCATTTCCTGCCTCCCTGTCTTTGTAATGCCTGTCCCCCATGGCTCCATCTCCTGGTTTCTCTGGCTTCTTTCAAGACTCTGTTCAATTTTCAACTTCTGTAAGAGGCAGTTCCCATCAATTTGTTTCTCCACCCTCACTGCTAGTACCTTTCCTTTGAGATTGCCTGTCATCTATTAGGAACATATCATGTATATTCACTATTATTTGCATATTAACTTCATCAGAATTTTAGCTTGAAGTCAGTGACTGTGAGAGGGTGTGTGTGTGTGTGTGTGTGTGTGTGTGTGTGTGTGCTCTTATCCACAGGCTTAGCAAAGTACCTTGGACATAATAAGTTCTTAATATCTGCTTATTGTCTTACTGATTGTATTTAAACCTAGTATAGGGAACTTTGAATAAAAAAGACCCTTTTACCAATGTCATTTGGCAACTTTCCTTAAACTTGTGATATTAAAGACTTGATTGTGACCTTGAGAGCTCACTGAATGCCTCCTTCTATATATATTGTCACTTCTCACTTCAAATTTGCTTTGGTCCCAACTAGATCCTCTACCTCTTTGTTTACCAAAATACAAAGTTTCTCTGCTTTAAAACATTTCATGAAGACTTTCCCTTCCATGAAGAATAAGGAATGGACTCATACTTCACTTGAAAAAAAAAACAACCTCCATTTATTTCAAATAAAATACAGGCATTAGACTTGGAGTAAAAAGAGCTGGGTTCAAGTCCAGACCTGCTGTTTACTCTTTGTGAGATCTCAGGAAAGTCACTTTTCTTCTTGAAGACTCAGTTCTGTGTTCTAAGAAATGAAATATGATACTTGCACTATCTCGTTCACAAACCAGTTGAGTGGAAAGCATTTTTAAACCACAAAGTGCTATATACATATGAATAGTCATTGTCATCATCACCAACACCACCGCTGTCACTGTCATCATCATCATCATCATTATCATCATCATCTCAGTTCTGCAGAGAAATCTTGTGTCAGCCACCTTCTGAAAAGTGCTGATAGTAACAGATAGCTGCCATCAAGTAAAAGGGAATTAGTCATTACAGACTCCTTGTCTCCATGTATACTATGAAATTAACATTTCTACATCTACAGAATATTTTATGAAATTCTATAGCCAAGATCTAAGCTCTATAACCATACCAGGTCAGTCCCCCCATTGTGAAAGTCTTGACCTATCCCTTTGTCATTAATTTGCTGTATGTTATGACTATGAGTACTGAAAAATAAACACTTATTCTGTGGATTATTTTTTCAATTTTTATTAGATTGCCTGTTGTTTTGTTTCTATCTTTCTGGGCCCTTTATTGTTGTTTCTCTGCTATCATTTCAGCTGTGTTCGACTCTTTGTGACCCCATTTTGGGGTTTTCTTGGGAAAGATACTGGAGTGGTTTACTATTTCCCTCTAGCTCATTTTACAGATGAGAAAACTGAGTCAAACAGGGTTAAGTGACTTGCTCAGGGTGTTATTTGAGGCCAGATTTGAATTCAGGAAGACTCATCTTCCTGACTCCAGGCCTGGCCCTCTAGCCATTGCACCACTAAGCTCCCCTAGGAATTAGAATATATGTTAATTTCATAGCATCATGGAGCTAAAAGATGCCTTAGAACTCCTAGAGTCCACTGCACTGCCTAATAAATCCCGTCTTCAGCATGTTGAAAATTCATAAAAGTTGTTTAAATGTGTACAAACATGGCAGACTGGTTTATTTAATCAGATCAGAGATAATCAGCTAACCCTATTTTATTGCATATATAATAGGTGCAGGGCCCATTTTCAAGAACAAATGATGAAGCAAACTAAGAAAAATTACCAAGCTACATTTCGACCAATGCAAAATAATGAGGGTCAAATACACCTGCCCTGGGGCAACCGAGAATACAGAAATTTTTCTGCAGTAAACTGTAAGCTTGCGAACATTGAAGACCACTTTTCTTCAATAGGATATATAGTCCTTGATGTTGCAATTAGAATAATGTCATGTACCCTACAGGTGTCTCATAAATATTAATTTGTAAAAATCAGCATAATAATGCTATTTTATAACCACAAAATAATATTTCATTCATGTTTCAAGCAGGGGATATTAAAAATAGAATGGTGAAGCTTCAGAAACAGTAATTCTGAAGGCTCATGCTATGAAGGATTAAACTGAGCTTTTTAAAAAGAGCTCCTTTTTGTGTATTTTTGTTGTGACTAGAATATGACAATTTGTATAGACTATTGGAGATTCTTATGTTATCTGTCAAAAATACTGCCATAACCAAATGAAAACACATATGTAGGTGGATGAGTTGACAAAATATCTTTCATTCATCTTTTTTTCTCTCTCATTTCATTATATCCCTCACTCTTCAAAAAAAAGATTGATTTTTATATTGTACTTTAGATGGTACACGACATTTTTCTCGCAACAGTCCTGTAAAGGTTGAATGCCAATCCAAGTATAAGACTTCTGTGTCTAATTTCCTATGATGTTTTACTTGAAATAAACCTGCAACATTTTACTTACATCTGTGAGATAGCCAAAAGTTTGCTCAGCTGTTTGAAGCACCAGTTTCCGGGTCACCCAGTCTAATTCTAAAGAAGGAGGAAAAGAATTGAAGCTTTCAATAATTTCAATATAGACTGAATGAAACTATTGACAATCCCCCAAAAAAGTTGATCATGCAGCCTTTGTCAGTAATATCAAGCCAATTATCAATCCATATGACTAATTATCAATTTATATCTACATGCCATTCTAAAAGAGTGAGCTAAATTATTTTCTACAAGCCATTAAATTATCATGTTGAACAACAGTAGAAAGCAGTTTTATCTCTTTAGCCTCATTGATTGGGACACAATAATAAGTTTCTTTCTTTATGCTGACCTACTAGGTTTTCTATTTCCCTAGAGATAAAGTTTTCCTCCCAAGATAGTGTCATAGAATGCAGATGAGTAGGCAAAAATGTATCAATGCTCATTAAAAACAAATATTACAAATGCATACCCTCCTAATTACAAGTCAAGAGTATTATATTGTGTACCAAAGACAACATTGGTAGGCAGTGGTATATTAGAGATGGCATGGGATTTAGAGGCAAAGAACATGGGTAATTCTGACACTTTGTGATCTTGGGCCAGTTACTTCTCTCTGAGCCTTAGTTTCCTCATCAGCAAAATAAAAAAAAAAATTGATTCAATGACTTACAAGGTCCCTTTTAGCACTGGACATGTGATATTACCATTATCATTGTATAGTTTCCCCCAATGTATCAAATAGTCAATAACATGCCCAATAATTAACACATCTACTCCAACTTGAAGTGAGGTGGTGGAAAACTGAAGATAGATGGATAGATGAATGGAAAGAAGAAAGAAAGAAAGAAAGAAAGAAAGAAAGAAAGAAAGAAAGAAAGAAAGAAAGAAAGAAAGAAGAAAGAAAGGAGGAGGAAGGAAGGAAGGAAGGAGGAAGGAAGGAAGGAAGGAAGGAAGGAAGAGGAAGGAAGGAAGGAAGAAGGAAGGAAGGAAGGAGGAAGGAAGGAAGGAAGGAAGAAAGGAAGGAAGGAAGAAAGGAAGAAAAGGAAAGAAAGGAAAGAAAGAAAGAAAGAAAGAAAGAAAGAAAGAAAGAAAGAAAAAGAAAGAAAGAAGAAAGAAAGAAAGAAAGAAAAAGAAAGAAAGAAAGAAAGAAAGAAAGAAGAGAAAGAAAAGAAAGGAAAGGAAGGAGAAGGAAGGAAGGAAGGAAGGAGGAAGAAAGAAAGAAAGAAAGAAAGAAGAAAGAAAGAAAGAAAGAAAGAAAGAAAGAAAGAAGAAAGAAAGAAAGAAGAAAAAAAGAAAGAAGAAGGAAGGAAGGAAGGAAGGAAGGAAGGAAGGAAGGAAGGAAGAAAGAAAAGAAAGAAAGAAAGAAAGAAAGAAAGAAAGAAAGAAAGAAAGAAAGAAAGAAAGAAAGAAAGAAAGAAAGAAAGAAAGAAAGAAAGAAAGAAAGAAAGAAAGAAAGAAAGAAAGAAAGAAAGAAAGAAAGGAAGAAAGGAAGGAAGGAAGGAAGGAAGGAAGGAAGGAAGGAAGGAAGGAAGGAAGGAAGGAAGAAGGAAGGAAGGAAGGAAGGAAGGAAGGAAGGGAAGGAAGGAAGGAAGGAAGGAAGGAAGGAAGGAAGGAAGGAAGGAAGGAAGGAAATATCTAGAATACATGTATATTGGTCTATAAAGTGCTTTGCTTAAAACAATTTAGTCAATTAGGTTATAGAGGTACAACACAATTTCTAATAAATAATAAGAAATTCCATTGAAGTCTTACTCCAGTATCACGTTATAAGGTGATCATGGGTTCCTGAAGGCCATGTGACCCTGAGCAGGTCAACTGACCTCTCTATAACTGAAGTTCTTAGTCTGTAAAATGATATAGTTGGATTCATTTCAGTAATAAATCTATGATTCTATTAATATACCCCTCTAGAGCCCCTCCATGTATACTTCATAAATATATTAATGATCTTAGAACAAGCTTTTGTGCAACCACAATGCATACATGATTTTAGAATAAGCTTTTGTATAATCAGAAACCATTTAGAGAACACATTAGAAACTATATCAAATAATTAGAAATAATATGGATGAGAAGATATTTCATAGTATTATAGGAATTCTATTATGATTTGTTTAAACAAGAGGACTATGACAGCATAAATGAACAAAAGGAAAGATATTGACTATATTCCTAAGAGAATTTAATTGATGCAAAACAGTTACTACAATGAAGAGGTCGAAGGAGTAGAGGGAGTCCTTCAGCCAGCACACAATTGATCTTCATGTGAAGCAGAGATATAAAGCAATTGAGAATAAAATTAACACTTGCAAAATATTATGGAAGATGACAGAGAATAAGTAGCAGTATTGCCCCTCAAAATAAAAAAAAAAAAAGCAGTGAATGGTAAAATAAGCTTACTAAGAGCAACAATGTGACCCATTTAAATCATATCATTCAGGGAGCATTTGAAGGATAAATCAAAAAGAGAACAAAAGACATGTAATTGAACCAATTTACTGTTATTTCTATAGGAATCTATTCTCATCAGCACCAATACTTAAATCATTACGTTTAGACTTTCTACCACTGATGTACTGTCATAAAATCTTTTATTAGATGGTCAGTGCAAGAATCAAAGTCATCCTAGATGAAAAAATGAGAAGAAAAACTAGCATATATTCATAGTTAGTTATCTACAAAAGACCTTTTTCAAAGTTATAGAGCTAAAATAATTAGCGAATAATATTCTGCTTTATCCGATTTTTTTAATTTTAAAAAAGCTAGATTATCCCAGGATGTATGTGAGTGAAAATTATTTGACTTCAAATAATAAAATGTAGTTTTAAAAGTTCTCCTCACATGAGGTATCTGCATGCAAATATTTAAATAATACAAGAGTTTATGAAACATATGGCTGTGGAGAAGATGTTCTTCAACAATCTTCTGAGTATTGATATTGATTAAGCTATAAAACAGGGAAACATGCCTCCAACAATGTTCACCAGTATAGAGACCAAATAGAAGAAGAATTATATATTAATGATAAAAGTTTTACAAATGCACTTATTTATGGATGGCTTTGCTCTAATCATATCAAAACCTAGAACAGTGAAGAGTTTCGTCAATTAAACCAAAAGTTGTTCAAAAGAGGTTGCTCTAACCATAACAAAATAATTAATAAGTGCATATTACCCAGAAAACTACTTGTTATTGGATGACTACTTGTTATTGGATAACATCAACTTAGTACATGGGCTTGTATGTGTATTTGTATCTACACAGACACACTTGTCTTAGCAGGTTTTGATTTTGGAAAGTGGGCTGGACCCAGAACTGATTAGCTCATTGGACTTAATGGCATTTGAGGAATTGTGTAGTACTTTCAGTAATCCCAAGGTTCTTGGAAGAGCAAATGCCTATCTATCTATCTATCTACCTATCTATCTAATCTATCTATCTTTACTGCCAACATTCTCCTGGTGAAATTATATAGCTGTAAATTACAGAATATCAAGTATTTTCCAGGGGACAAACAAAAGACATTTGGATTTAAATTGCAGCATTATATCAATAATGGCATATGAAAAATTATATAAAGGACATCCTCAAAGAAATGTGTGATCAGAAAAAGTGAAAATTTTTCCAAATTTAAAATTTTACAACACAGATAAATTTGTAATAATGTTGACATAATCATATGAATAAATAACCACTAACATTTAATGTGCCATATCAATGCCCTGTAAGAATATATGGCTTTATTCTTACATACACTTCAGAATAACAGAGAGTTATATCCAATAGCTGTATTCACTGTCACATGTTGTTGTATTCAATTTCTATACCCCTACCCAATTACTAATTGTGCAAAGACAGAAATGTGTCATGAATGGGATAGAGCAGAGTTGGTAATGAGCCCCATGGAATCAATCTTACTTTTTGGATACATTCATGTCTCCTCCTTTTGGCCTAACACTGAAAGGCAGACTTTTCCCTATATTGTGTAATCCAAAGTGATATGATATTATATTATCAGTTCTATGTTTGTGTTAATTTCATATTTGGGTTTGAACACAGATGTCACTTCATAAGACTTTAAATATTCAGCAGGGAAAAAATTTATCTAAAATCACATGGTAGATTATATTACTGAGAGTTTTCACAAGATAATTGACAGTCTGGTGAACAAATTTGCCTGTCATTTTTCTCATTTGTTTTAAAAAAAATTTGGAAATCTGAGATCCTGAAGAGTCCTATGGCTAGTACCAAGGATTAAAGGCAAAGTGTCTATGTAATATGAAAGTCACATTTTGGTAGAAATCCCCCCGTTTTCAGGAAAAAATGTTGATGGACCTTTCAGACAATTTTTCATTATTTTTACAAAAATCAATAACTTTTGTTTTATCATGTATTTGCTTAGATAACTTATAAAAATTCTCTTTGAATATGCTTTCTTCTCTGGATGATTAATCAAGAATATGTTGGCATCTATAATTACCAGCACCAAGCCTTCATGAAAAATTTGGGGAATTTACTAGGATGTCTCTAATTGTTATTGGTACTCATTCCAAAAAAAATTTACTTATGTATATGCATACTGTTTCCACCTAGTACAAAGTAAAGTCCTTAAGGTAAAGAACTGTTTTCATTTTTGTCTAGCCCAGTGATGATCAAAGAAGAGGCACTGAATATATGTTTAATGAATTGAATGAGATTGAAAGCAGAGGAATTACATTTTTTTCAAAACAAATTTCTAATATATATATATATACATACACATATGTATCTGTATATAAATGTCTGTATATACTGTGGATATATATGTATATATATGTATATATACATACATTATATATATATACATACATACATTATACACACACACACACACACACACACACACACACACATATATATATATATATATATATATATATTATATATATATATATATAATATATATATATATATATATATATATATACCATTTATAAATGGAAGAGAAAACACATACAAATATACTCATACCCGTGTTTGCTAAGTACTGGCTAAACACAAATACAGAATGAGAATGA